AAAGATATGATTTTATTTGATTAAGTTATTTTTTCGCCACAGCATAATGCTATAATTTCCCCAACAGTGTTTCATGACTAATGTAGTCGAATGCTTTTGACAGATCACAAAAAATGCCGAGAGCATCTTGTTTATTCTCCCAAGCATCATAGATACGTCTCAGAAATGCAAAAACAGCGTCTTTTTTACCTCTGCTAAAACCAAACTGATTGTTGTAAAGTAATAATAATAATTTACACTTTATTGCTCAAACATCATTATTAATATTAAGATAACAATATTGGCACTAATGCTAGGATGGGCAAAGGTAATTTATTTAACGAAAAGTGTACAAGCAGTTGATTGTAAATAATTTTCTCAAATACTTAGCGCTGGTAGTATGAAGTTACTAGGTTCAGAGTTGTGGCCTGCCTTGAAAAGTGGGATTTTTTTACCATATTTCATTAAATCAGGAAAAGTTCCTTCATCAATGCACTTATTAAAAATGAAAGTTAATTGAGGCGCATTAGATGGTGTTATAGATTTGATAACATAACTTGAATCGCCCCTTAGGTTTTCATTTTTGGAATTATATGTTTTAATAATTAAGTTGCCGTTAACATGTCTAAAATTAAAATTCAGTATTGCACTTAAGAACAACTGACTCTAGATGAGGAACCGCAAGTTAGAACATGAACTAAGATTTCTAGTGATTTCATTTGGTGTATTAGAAAATAATTTCTCAAATGTATCGGCAACCTCTTCATCTGTTTTAATAACTGTATATTTTTTCTTATATTTTTTAAATAAAAAATATCGATATCACTAAAAAGCATAAAATAAAACTTAAAAATATAGAATCGACTTCAAAACTTTAATAAAGGAACAACATTTATCTCGAAAAATGCTATTAAAGTCGAGCGCCTATCATTTAATTAATATCTAAACCTACAGAAGACCTCCACCCGACTTCAATTGCATTTTCTTGAATTAATCGCTTTTGAGATAAGTATTATTTTTCACTTCTTTAAAGTTTGAAGTCGGTTCTATTTTTTATTCTTTTAATCAGTCAGTAAGTTAAATCAAGACATAAAATTAACATTAAGCACAACACTGCTTTGTTTAATTAATAACAGAAAACTGGTTACATTCCACCTGTCAATGTTGCTTATTTGTTAATACAACTTAAACGTGTTAAGTTTATTATAGCGACGGTCAATAATGTTATCCCGTTTGTAATAAAGTATGCAGTCAATAAACAAGTCGGAATTGTCAGTGAAGTTAAATTACTGGCAATACCATACGATAGCATCTGGTATTTTGGGTGAGGCAACGCTCATCGGTGTAGTAACATTAACATGTGAGTAAAACTTTACATAAAACAAAATTATGCAAGGGAAAATTGTGAAGTTTAACATAAAAAATGTTTGATGTCAAACAGTTTACGGATCGAAAACGTTAGCAGGCTAGTTTGTTTATGTACTTGAATTTATTAAAATTTATTAAAATGTCATTGAAAATCTCTTTTTACAGCTCTGTACGTTTGATCACCGTATCGGAATTGGTACATCTGCCCCACGATTTTGAAAAATCCAGCCCCTAATTCGAAATCACTCAGTATCCGAATCCACTTTAAAAAGCGGCATCCACTCAACCTTGAATTGGTAATAACAATATGTGGCATAAATGAAGATAGTTTTATTTTTTTTAATTTAATTATCAGCACACTTTATGGTTTACATAAATTGGTTAACTTGCATCATGTAAACCACTAAGGTTCGTAACACGTTTCGAAATGACATAATAACAAAATAGAATATCGAAATGACACAGGAATAGAATATCTAAGACACGTATATACAATCAATCTTGTTTTGTATTTTTATACAAAAAATGGAACCAATAGAATTTCTACACTAAATGGCGTGAATTCAAACACATTAGTGAATTCGAATTCGGGTCTGGATATTTACAGAATAGCCTGCGCAGACGAAGATTCCCTATACGCCATATTAGTTCGAACTTACTATATGGTGAGTATAAAAACCTGCTTTTATAAAATGTGCCTAAATTATGTTCTCAATAATAATAAATAAAAAACTAGAACAGTGAAAGTGAACTTTTGCAATGATCGTAAATTGTTGGGAGGTAATTACTACGGTTACGGAAAGTTAACTGTAGGTATTCGTTAATTACGATATACATATAAGACCTAGGCATGGTGTTGCGTAAACGGTCAGAAGTAAGCATTAATTGCTGTGGAAAAAAAATATAGATAAATTATTAAAAAGGCACGATTGCGGCTTATAGAAATACATGGTTATGAGCAGCTTATGAGCCAGCAGAAAGATAAATATTACAGACCATCACATATTCTAGTTCAGATTCCAGGTAAAATTACTAAATACCCCATAATACCGCTAGAGTAGGTATCTGAAACAACGAAAGCACCACAATATCCAGACCCTATACAATATGGAAAAGTTTATTTTCTACGAACGGGAAATGAACTACGAACTCCTCGATTGCGTAAGTCATCACATCAAATATGAAATTAACTACGCAATAAAAAGTCTAGATAGACCGCTAGAAAAAAAAACTGAAATTTGTGTTAGATAGAGTCCCTTTGGGGTTTTGGAGCTTATTTCATTGTGCCCGTCAATAAGATAGATTTGTACAGATGATGTGTATTGCGCGTCAAAAACTAGTTTTAATGATGTAATTACTCGCAAATCATTACGAGTATTGTTAAAGCGATGTATATTAGTCCTCTACTGACATACTTATAAATTTTCTTTATAAGTTTTCCTTATAAAATAAAAGTTATAGAACTTGCGAATATTCTCATTTTCAATCACAGCTTATTTTAAAAGTTATTTCTTGGTACAGAACCAATTTAAAATAGGTTTTTTTAAATTTTGTGTCTTTTAGTAATCATTTTAGTGATTTGAGCAAAAAGTGTTATAAAACCAAATAAAAATACATAAACTAAACTTAAAAACATGTAGCATAATCTAAAAATTTAATATATTTTCCCTTTAATTGAAATTACGGCACAATATGTCAAGCATTATTTAAATAACTTTAAAATTATGTAATGAAAACTCCATTAAATGGAATGAACGCGTTTGTGTAATGTCTGTTCTTCAAATCTATTGTGCAAATAAGTGTACTGCCCGCAGACAGCTGAAATATTACGAGACTTCCTAAAGCGTATACAAGATGAACACATTGTGCTGTCGGCAAACATAACTGCTTTCCCTTACATAAGTATGATTTTTATGTAAATTAGTGGACATGCGTTAATCTACTAAGTGAAAACGAGTATTTTCGAAAGAACGAACTACCGATACGGAATGAATGTGCGATAATGAATTGGCATCGTTTCGCTAAAATTGTTATATCCTATACTACCGATTTTTTTTTGGTAACGCAAGGGAAACAGCTAGTCTTTATAAGTATTACTTTCACTTATTAATCGTTTTCATGTAACAAAAACAAAAAGGGTGATACGATCATGGATGTGGACGGAAATATTGGAGAAACCAAAAAAAGACATATATTTCACACAGTCTATTCAACTTTTCTTCGGCTTTCCTCTCGTGATTAATAAGTAAAAATAATACTTATTTGAATATTTATCTATATTTACAAACTTCTTTTTTTATGCAATTACGTCATTGTTATGGTGAATAAATACAGTGCGTGCGTTTCTATTTTTTATGCGTGGGTTCGAGTTCCTAAACCGACGTTTCTATTTTGCCACATTAAATAATATTAAAAGTCTGAAAGACTTTCAAAAAATTATAGTTAAAAATTAAAGTATTATAGTTCTTCCGAAAAATTACAGCAGCGTAGGTATTCTAAACTAAGTAAGTGCACATTATAGAGACGAATGCTATTTTGTTAATGCAGGGGAAGTACTCCTTATGCCTTTAATCAAGCAATAGGACCTGACTGAAAGGGCGAGCCAAAGTATAATTAGTCTATCCAATGAGACAAGCCCTGGAATTTCCTGATTTGCTGTTGGTGGAAAGCGTATTTCTAATCACCGCAAAGGACGCTATATTGTCGGATACTAGGAAAGACAACATACAGAATCTGTTCCATAGCAATGGAGGAAGAATTAGCTGTTACATGTTACAGTTTGCACCATTTGATTAGTAATCAATATATCATGGATGGAGTAATTATATTATTATAATATAACCATAATTCAACTTTGCACAAACCGGGCAACATTTAAACATTTTAATAGGTGTAAGAAAGCTATTATTTTCGTATCGGGATATTTATATTTACTTTCATATTTTACTTCGTTTGGTACAGTGATGTGGCTCTATATTCAAAGAACCCGGTGATATACTTAGTAGATACACCTATATGACTTCTGCCAATAGACAAAATTAATGTCACAGTATACCAATGTATCAAACCGAAATACCGATGTAAAATATGAAAATAAATATAAATATCCTAATACGAAAATAATAATTTCTTTCTTAGGGTTGGGGCACACTATCCGATTTTAGAATACAAAAAAAGATAAGTATTTTTCCAAGTTGTAGCCTACTTTAAAAGTCAGACTGCTAATTTTGCTGCACATAATAAACAGTACTATTCTAATAAAAATAAAAAACTTTACTAAACTAGGTACGCTGTTGCCCACTTGACCATACAGAAAGTGCAAAATATTCAAAATAAAATTATAATCATTCACTGAGTAACTTTATATAATCTAAGCTGTGTAAGTATCGACTTCTTTTATAGTTACCTACTTTACATTTTTTGTCACATTAGAAAATAGACACAAAAACAGCGTGCCATTCTCCGCAAAATCACTTATTTGTGTACTCAGCTAACTTGACCTTCTGCTTAACTTTAGTAAGAGTATCAAGATCTCATTCTAAACCTCAAGAATTAGGTATGAATACTTAGTATAACTAACTTTTCTTATGAATATTTTTGTTAGATGAGAATTCAATAACATGCACTTACATTATATCATTAAAGAAACTTACCTAAGGTTGTGTCCAAGTATAAATTTTAATTATTGTTAGGTACTATATTTCACTATATACTTTAACACAATCAACCGAACGATTGGATACTATTTTTCTATAAAATTAAGCGAATTATAATAATTCTGTCATAAAAAGTCGCTGGAAACCAGTTTATGTGTTAAGAAATTCCACTGGAGTTTGCACACTTAAATTTTAACTGAGAAATTTCACTGAATAGGTCTAAAACTCTCGATTTAAATAGTTAGATGTCCATAAAGTAACGTCCTCATTTATTTACGAATACATCCACTCAAAAAAGTTTTATTTTAATACATTCACTTCGGCGTTGTTCGTCATGCGCACTAGCGTCAACACTTTAACGCGGCGAAACCTCGACTGTCTAGGACCAATCGGTGTCTTGCATTCTCCAAAGAAAGATCAAGGTATTACACAAACAAATTAAACTACTCGTTGTTTAATTGGAAATGCCTTCTTGGTTTGACTAGTTAGAAGTTGCCATATTCAATGATCAAAAATACAGAACGTTTTAAACTGTATATCATAGTAATATAGGTTTTAATATGCTTTAATGCTTAGTTCATCGAAGATATTTGTTTAAGGTATATTTTAACGTCTCAGTGGGTTATTTTTATTTAAGGCTTCAAAATCTTGTCCATAGGTTTCACATTGCTTTGACGGCTAGTGGAAAAACAGGAATTACAACGAAACATGAATGAGTTTTTATGTCTTGACATTAACGTTCAAATTTGTACATTAAGATATCAGTTATGTTTGTTGCTCACCTTATAAGAAATGCTCGACCTCGCATGGTATGTGTTGTGCATTACAAAGTTACCTCGAAAGCTAGAAGGAATCTTGATATTATGTGACGATAATGTAATGCAATTCTTAAGCTCGTCTCTTCCTGGCTTTCATAGTTTACACCTATTTACCTAGAATATCTAAAAAATATGCAATAAGGTGCACTATTGCTATAAAGATTTAGTGCTTTCCAAAAGAAGGTTTATAATTTGAACTGTATGTTTATAATTTCTATGTCTAAGAAATCGTATATGGTTAAAGTAGTAAACAGCAAAATATTTTAAACGAGCACCTAAATTAGAAATAGATCTCTTGCGGCTCTACCACGTAACTGAAGCCTTGTTAAATCTGTCCAAATAAGACCCTTAGCCTCTGGGCGTCATTTTCACAGTTAAATCAGAGCTTCAGTTCCGAAGTAGAGCCGCTGGCCTACAATATACAGTAGTAGCAGTAGGTACATATCTAGTAAGTAATCAACAGAAGTAGTAGTAGATATAATAATGAAATCGAATCAAAGCAGATAATAAACCTGATCTGCAACAAAAAAATGAATTTGGAAATATTTATTCCTACTTTCGTTCCATTGCAGTTTGTTTGTTATAGCCAATGACTATTGCATCACATGCTCGCATATTGATTTGAAAATGATTCTCCATTCGTGTTGTTTAGAAAATCAACGTTGTCACTCACGTAGCATGCTTCCGTCAACAGACGTGACTTCCCGCGTAATATAGAATGATAAAATAATTTGAATAATAAAACTTAATGCCAACTAAATAGAGTTGAAATTATGATTGACTTTATTTAAATAAAACAGTAATTTTAGAGAGCAAATTATTTTTTATAGAAATGAAAATGATAAATATGGAATTAACATTGCATTGATCAACTTAGTCCCTACCTAACTATAAGTACAGACAAGACAGTAACGTTATGTATGACATTTAAAAATATTATATTATTTTGTTATTAAACCTACATAGAATAACTTTGTTTAAGTTAAAATCAAGAGAGTTTAGATATTTTTCTCAAAATTGTACTTTTTTATTTCATTTCTCATTACTTGGGTAATAAATAACAAATACTTATCACCCAAGTAATATATTTGATATAGTATGTGTTATTTTTTCGTAGTTTTGGTAAACTCTATCATTTATCATCATGATATTACACATGGCTGCCCGTCAGGTTACTAATATCTGACAATTTTCTCCATTTGATTTTAAACTCTACCCTCAAAACATTAAGGTGAAAAAGTTTAAAAAAACGGAATGCGTTACGTGACGTGCTCTACCCTCAAAATATGAAGGTATAAAATCAAGTGAAGAAATTTGACGAAATGCGTATCCCGACGTGCTGTTGACTGTACATCATCATCATCAGAGTATCAATATACCCACCGACCCATGGCAAAGGGTTTCCCTATGGATGGAATTAAATCGATTGAAAACAGCGCCAACAGTGCGGGTTCTTGTTAAATTGCAAATGCAGCCGCAACCAACGGAAGAACTGGAGGTAGTACATTTTGGTCACCTATTCTGCCTGCTCCTTTATGTCATATTTATCCTTATTCCTTCTGTTCTGATAGAATCCATGCATTAAAGTTTAAAATAGGGAAATGTAACAGTTTCGTCAACTGACGTGATGCTAACTGTATAACTTGGGACGAAAGAAATAGTATTTATATTATATGGTTTTGGTAAGCACACCGTTGTAATGAGCCCTTATAAACGTAATTTTAAAGACGAAATAAGGAAAATATTTTTACTTTATTAATTAAATATGCAGTTCAGGTTTTTGTACAATTACAGTTTTTTTATGTCATATCATAACCGATAAAGAATATGTGTTTATTAAACGCAACTTACTATGTACTATAATTACAGTATTTCATGTCATTAAATCGATTGTATTATCACTGGTTAGAAATTATACCATTTTTTTTAAAATAACGAATTAAAATAGTACACTCACCATTATCTTGCGTTTTGTTTTCAAATATTCTTTATCCAAAGATGAACATTAAATATTATTATTTAAAATATAAATTATACAAGAAAAATAAATCAGCAAATTTGTAATACATAACTTTTACATTTCTGAGATTACACACATCATATTTTAAAGCCTAATTGATAAATTCCTGTTTTTTTAATACCTATGTTATGTACTTAGAAATAAGAATTTAGAGATCATTATGAATATGCATGACCTGCGTTTGGTATGTAATAGAAAAAAAAGTACAATAAAACTGTATAGTTGTGGAGTTGATCTATGACAAAAAGAGGTTCGTTTAGATGTTGAAACGTATTAAAACACAAATTATGGTTGTGATACAAGTATTTCTTTTATATTATTATAGTCACAAAATAATAAAGTTTACGGACTATTAACTTAATCTTATGTTTGTTTATTCATCCAAACAGGATACAATTTTTGACATAGATATTGTAACAGCTTGCCATTGAGGAAATAAATTATCAGATTAATGTTACTTTAGAAAACCAACCTTAAATTAGGTTTTGCAATAACTTTAAAAAGATGGATGCTTAATGAATAATTAATAGCGATATTAAATAAATAGTTTTAACTGCTATGACTAAAATTTTTAAGCGGAGATTTTAAATATTATCTTTGATAAATATTGCATTTATAATGCCGCATTAATGTAAAAAAAAAATACTTCACGACTGTCTTAAATTAACAATCACTAAACAAAATAAAAAACCTCCTTAGGATTTCTGTTAGCTCAGTTGAAACAGCAGTCTGATAGCCAAGGTCGTGGGTTCAGCAGGCCAATTCGGCTAATGTTTATTTATGCCAACTCATAGTCGCATCTCAATAGAATCTCTACTAATTATTAGTGCTATGTGTTCCTCTCCAAATCAATGACGACAGATAAATAATAATATTGCACTTCATGTGGGTACTACAATGGCAAAATGCAAGTAGATTCTATTAACATTAGTAGAATTGACCTACAGGTTTTGTTGAGTTGTCGCTCGACACTTTTTATGTATTAAGTACTTTCTCTATAGAGATTTTTTAATATAATTTATTATAGTATAACATAATTTAGCACAATGAAAAGGAACATAAATATCTAACGTTAACATAAATTTGAATTAAATAAACATAGGAAACAATAATCTGAGGTTACTTCAAAACACTAAGAGATAATGGGTTAAAATTTTCTTTTCAGAACTAGACTAACATCATAAATAGCTCTGCCGTCGGAATTATCAAAAGTAAATACTTAAGATTGTTATATAAATTTATCCGTTCAGTTTCAGAGCAGAAAACGTCCATTTTGTAGAGTGTGGAGTGTAATTTCCAGAAAGTTCGAATGCTTTACAAGCAAATAAAGTATGTTTCAAGTGTAACATAATGGACGATGGATTGATAATAAAAATTGTAAATGAAGTTAATTTTTTGAATTTTTATCACTCTGTCTTTGGCATAAAAACAGGCCTTCAGTAGTGGCGTAACTTACTTTAAACTTAGTTTAGAGAATGTGTATTCAATAATTAAAAATTTTTCATTATAATACTAGGTCTAAATATATATAATGATATCTACATTATTTAGTACATCTATTTCCATAATATACACAATAATTGTTTAAATATAACAAACATTCTAATAAGACACATGACTATTTCCATCACAAAAGTATTTACTTACTTAATGACTATGAATTACGAATACTATCATTATAATCGTCAAATCCCTAAGCAAGTGAATAATTCACTTGTACATTGTATAAATAAATTAATATACAAAACAATGATAACTCCCAAAGCACAAGTTGTGTGAACCGACCGACGTAGATTTTATGTTTTCTTTTATAATGGTTGATGATGGCACGGAACATGGGCGCACCAAGCGCTTTTTTTACTTAAGTGGGGCAAAAAACTTATTAAAATAATATAAATTTGAAATGCTTTTTAATAGTAATCTTATTTCAATAATAATCTGCGAAAATCATGGCGACAAAATTTATTATATTCAAAATGTACGTTTTTCACTTCATATCTTCATGTCAGGGTTGAGGGTGGGGTGTCCCTTGCCCCACCGCGGTGGGTACGCCCATAGCATGGTATAATTACAGTACGCTATTCATTATATTGCTTATGAATAGCATCGTGTAACAAATTGAATTCGTATCGAAAACAAATGTCAGATGTTTGTATTGGTATTTGCACAGCGCCATCTGCCACCGGAAGGGGAACTACAATGGCTAATTAAAATTTTGACTAACATGATATGCGCTCGATATGAATTCGATTCGGACTCGATGATTTTTCTTTTTAAATAAAGGTAAACGTGAATCAATGAGAAACAATCGCGCGCGAACGTGAAGGCGAAATATTTTTTTTTTGTCAAAACACATGACCCATCACAACACACACAAATGTACGCGCCGAATCGACAGAAGTCATGTTTAATAGTTAAAATTTGCTTATGTGTGAGTATATCAATTAAAATATCTAAATCCAGCTTTTCCTATTACACTTAAATTTAGTACTGGTCGTGTTCCATTGAGATTCCTAATGTAATAAATGTAATGAAAGTTAAA